ATAGATAGATAGATAGATAGATAGATAGATAGATAGATAGATAGATAGATAGATAATGCAACTTTCCTCTAAAGAGCCACGATCCTATTTGATCAGGCAGACAGCGTTCTTTTAACCAAAGACCGCCCGTTCTTGTGCTGAAACCGTCACTTTCACCAGTAAACTGAACGGCCATCTGCTGTCGGGAGACCGACAATTAGTGTTTCAGACTAAAAAGCGCCAAGCATTTTCATTATGGCCGTCCATGTGCTTATTAAACTAGGTGGGTCCCCTTTTGATGAAAGGAATGATCGGTGCATTAGCATCAACTGAAAGTCATTGGCCCACTATATTTTTACACTCTACTGGAATGGAGCAATAAATCTTGAGATATCTAAAAAATTAGAAGGTCTAGATCTATTCTCTCAAAACAAAACGCGCCTCGCGAAATACCCCTTTGAGCACTTCCGTTGTGAAGGACAGCTACGCAGATTTGTTTCGTTTCTTAGTGGAATAATGACAAAAGCCAAAGAAGGACGGGAACTTTTTGTTAAATATATTTTTGTCTAAATTCAGAAAATGAATAAATAAAAAAATCAGGCTACGTCATGGGGACCTATCTATCTGTTTGTATGTACTTGCCAACTTTCAACTCTGCAGCTGTCGTAGTTTTATGGGAAAAGTGACACATGTGTTTCCAAGTTGCCAAATATATAGTATAAGTATAGATTGATTCTCTATTCCGCTTTCGTGGTTGTACACTCCAGAATTTCAAAGGTGTGGGAACAGTGCGCACGGCTAGTGAACGGAAACCTCACTTGTTTACAATGGCGTTTTAGAAGACGGACTTTCCCAAGATTAGATCTAAACGAAACTAATGAAAAACTGAAAATTAAATTACAGGGACTTCAGGCTCCTCAATAAAACTGAGCACCCTTTAAATGAGTCTGAACCACCAATAATTTTGTCAAATTCGAAAGTTAAGTGGTTCGGAAGTTTTAGGTGGCCAAAGTGACGGACTTTCACAAACATAATAGAGATGTTACCTGATTGCCAGTGCCATTATAATTTTTCCCCCGAGAGAAAGACAAGAGAGTCAGTGTTTTTAGCGAAATAAAGAAATTTGAGCTTCCTCTGTTTCATTGAAAGTAAACAACGAATCTTGGAGAGAGAGAGAGAGAGAGAGAGAGAGAGAGAGAGAGAGAGAGAGAGAGAGATTGGGGGGTAAGACTGTGTGACACAGGACTTCATCGCTTTTGATTTTGTCAAAGGATTCACGAACTCACCAACCTTGGTACCTCTGTACGAGTGCTCGGTTGGGCGTTATACTACAGGGCCTTCAGTCACAACAACACTCAAAGAGAAGGACTCAATGTCGCAAATTGGCTGCTCGACCCACATCTTTTCAAGACTAGCAGCAGAGTGAGTGAGTGAGTGAGTGAGTGAGTGAGTGAGTGAGTGAGTGAATGAGTGAGTGAGTGAGTGAGTGAGTGAGTGAGTGAGTGAGTTAGTGAGTGAGTGAGTGAGTGAGTGAGTGAGTGAGTGAGAGAGAGGGAGAGA